CTCTCCCTCTTTCTCTAGAGACGTTGGTTTGTTAATGACTTCACTGCGGTTTGTCTCTCAGTTGGCGCTGACTGCGGTTGATTATCCCACCATCAGCATTCAGCATCAGTGACATCTGAGAGACTCTCCCACCCGTGCTGTTCAGCCGCGATGTGCAAATATCTTGTGATGTCACAAACGTATGAATATTAACAAGCAACCGCCCGTCTTTCTTCACAAGGCAGACATAAATAATTAGCCCGTTCTATTCAAAAAGATGCCAGTCGTGTTGGAAATATTGTTGAGTTGTGGGATCTGCGGGGAGCTTTGAACAGTATGAGATTTGAAAATTGATGCTGCCTCTGGTTCACCTTTGTTGTGGAGCTGCATGCTTTCTGGACAATGTGGAACAGAAAAACCAGCAGAAATATGTAAAAAAGGAAAAGGGTGCCACATTATAAAGTCCAAATGATTCAGTAAAAGCATATCAGAGGTTGCAATGTCTTCTTCCCCTGCAAGACCACGAACATTACTGGTAACACGTTTGCAGGCTTTCCGATTACACACATTTAAACTGAAATTGAGAGCACTGAAGGCTAACCATAAAACTGCATCAAGGCCAGATCACTCCCTTGGCCAAAGTGACGCGGTACATTATAGCTTACCAAAAAAAGAAAGCATAAGACGGCTGATAGATATACACAGTCTAATTGCTTGTGAAAGTCTTCCTATTAGCTGGAGGAATCAAATCATGTGTGTGGGAATGGAGTGCCATTTTAACCTCCGAAGGCAACACGGTCAGCTTTTTTCACTGTAAGTAGAACTAACGATGAGTCATAGACACACACACACACTGAGCAGCAACAGTTTAGATCCAATGGTGCATTTCTTTTTTCTACATCAAGAAAAAGAGCCTAATTTAGCAATATAATAATATTTTCCTTTTGCCAAAAACACATTGAAGAGCTGGAACTGGAACGATTTGTGTGTGTTGCAATGACTGGCACTAGTTCTTAGCATTTCTGTAAGTATGATAGGCAGTCAGTGGAGAATTAGAGCTTACAGAGCACAACGGACCATCAGCCCCTGGCCTTGACCACTGACAAGTTATAGCTGCACAGGGTCCTGTCGAGAAGGAATACTCACACAAAAGCACATGAAATACACACATAGTTCTCAACTATGCAATTCAACTCCCTCCCTCCCTGTCTCTCCCTTACCACCCATCATTTATTGGCTAATGTCTCCCCTCTCCTCAGCCATCAAAATCTTGCTGCTGTATCTATTTTTCTCACCCCCCCCCCCTCTCTTCCCTCGTTCTGGGGGAAAATCAGCTGCATCAGCACTGTCCTTACCTTCCAACCCTGAGAACATCCACACTATCTCTCTCTCACACACACACACACACACACACACACACACACACATTCAGTGAATAAGATTAAAGGACGAAATGACCTGATTTAGTGTCTGTCTGTTTACAGCTGTAAACAGCATATATTTGGTGGAGATCACAAACACGCACGGAAATGTTTAAATGAATAATAAAACTGCGTGAGTGCGTTAGCGTGAATCCCTATAGCTATAGCCCAATGAAGGGGTTTCTCACCGTGACTCATCCTCAGTCAACTCAGGTCCGCTCATGGTTGCAGTTGTTACATTCCCACGCACCTCCCTTTTCATATTCTCCCTCAACCTGCTCTTCAACACCGCCATCTCCACATTACAATATCTCCACTCTTCTCCTATACGGTCATCTTTCTGCACATAATGCTCAATGTCCCTCTCTGTCCGTCTCTCCCTCTCTCGGTCCCGTGGGTAGTGGTGGGATAATTGGAAGCAGAGGTTCTTCATTGAGATGATGCTGAGGCCAGTCAGGTGGAAATCCCTCTTAATAGACCTATGCTCTCCCCATGCACCCACCATGCTTATGCAAACACTTGCACACACATAAACTGTTCATTGTGGATGCAGCCATGCACACCAACACCTATTCTTCTCCTCAGAGGCCCACATTTCTGGAATTACGCAGCTTTCCACACAGCTGCAACAGCCAATGATCTCATGCTATTCTTCCTAACTTATCCTTCTCTCTCTCTTTCAATCCTCTTCTGTCCATCGCCCTCTTTCATCCTCCCTCCATCAATTTACCACTCGACACACCTGCGCTGCAAATCCATTATTTTGTATCGCTCTGTCGCAATCATATCTCGCATCTTTTCCTTGATAACAGGCAATCCCCCAGCTGGCTTTTTCACAATACTGGCTGCACGCCTCAGATTGCCACAGCCCATATCACATTGCAATATTTAATCTCCCTTCGCATGTGAAGCCAGCTTCTGTGTGTCTTTTGACAGTATCCATTTTGTTTTCTCTTAGCCTGGAAAAATGATTTGGGCCCGTATCATGATTTGGATGTGGCAAGAATCCCTCCCAGTTTGTGGACCCCCCCTCTCAGCACTTTCAGCCCTTCCATCATACCCTCTATCAATCCCCCCTTCCCTGCAGTGCACTGCTGAACCAAGATGGCTGCCTTCCAACTCAATTTGTGGTCAGCGAAGGGGCTATTTGCATGAACATGTGTCCCGCAGTTTAGCTGATATCCCACCGTGACAATCTCACAGAGAGGAGTGAAATCATGCATATATTGAAGTCCCCTTCCCTTTTTGGTTCAATTCATCTTTCCCGTACTGATGTTTTGCAATTTTCCCCACCTCCACTGTGGTACTTAAGGATTAAGTGAAACACTGAGGCCTCTCTTAACACTGAGAGATAAAAGGGAGGGGTGTAATAGATTGTAAAAAGTGGGAAACACATGCAGTGAGAGAGTGCATGTGGGAACATAAAACGAAAATTAAAGTGGCACTCGGGACGGGACATTTTAAGGATTAGATAAAGGTCAGGTGACAACATTATCCTTTATTAAAATCAGTAAATCAGTAGACTGTAGCGTGGACACACATTTGTGTCTATGCACAGATGAGTCAACCTGTGGTGACTGGCAACAAACGATAAGTGGACACCTGTTTTTTAACAAGTATGTGTATATGTGAGTACCACCAGTATGTGAGTTGCAAACATGGGAAATTGATTTATTAGCTGAGACTGGTAAAGCTACTGCTTAAAGCCGGCACTAATAAGACAAGGCTCATTACCCAAAAGTGTATTACTTGTTTCCATAATGCATTGCTTATTAGTCCCCCAGATGTTGTAGTTGCCACACCAGTTTGAACACAATTGTTATGTCTGCTCTTACATATATATATATATATATATATATATATATATATATATACACACAATGTATGTACATGTGTAAAACCATTTAGAAGACGCTAATGAGACGTATCATACACAATAATGAAGAGACATAAAATGAACGATGGATGTTTTTTTTATTTTTACACAATTCAAATTGATATTTTTTTAACTGTTGTCTCTCATTGACATTGAATAAACATGTATACTTAGAGATCGCTTTGAAAAATCACTTTAACATCCTAGCATAGAAGATATTTGTCACCAGTTTCCTTAGTTCCAGGTCAGGGCATCATTATATAAAATCCCAGCGAAGCGAGTTATAAGCCAGGCACCTCCGAATAACTCGAAATAATGTTGAAAGTTTTATTAGGACTAAGAATGGTACCACCCCACACCAGCACTTCATAGTTTTTTTATGGAACTGTGTTAAACACACATTTAAAATTGTAAACCGAGTTGATTATCTCAGTTTATTGTCCTATTTGTTGCGGGAAAAACAAAAAGAAACACAGAAAAGACACACAGGCTAAAGATGTGATCAAAACTGAAGTGCTAAAAATGACACAAATTGCATTTTATTTGTCTTTAGACTGTCACGTTAAATTTAGCAAACAATCTTGAACTTATTTGGTTGTATTTTTTTGTTTACTTTGTAATAATTCCTATTAAATGTGCATGGGCCTTTGCACAATGGCATAGGTTAATGTAGGCCCTGTTTTATTGCTGCCTTTGGTCTGCTGTCATAGACTGGGGGTGTCTGTGCGCCATGTGCACCTGGGCCACTTGGCCACAACATCAAAGATGCAAAACAAAACAAAAGTTGCAAAACAACTGCAATTTTTTGGATTGACCTTCAATCAGGAGATGTTTAAATGTCAGTATCCTTGAAAAAGAGCATTATTTTAAACCAAAATTCTCAATTTTGCATTTAAACACCTGCAGGAATGTGTATAGGTGTTTATCCTGTCATGGTTTACCTGTTGGGAACTCCTCACAGGCTCTGTTTTATCCTACATTTTAAAAGAGTTAATCCTAATGCTAACTGTAAGGATGTTTCAAAACTATTTGTACACCTAGGTCTAAATGTAGGATCAAATACGTGGTAATCTAAACATTTTGGGAAAGTTGGGAGCAATTGCAGATGTTTAATAAATACAGGTCCAGATGAGTAACATCTTTTTTTTTTTGGAATGGAAAATGAAACCCACAAAGTAAAATTGCCCTAATTAACAAGGGAGTTTTCAGAATTGTGTTAGACTGATGCTCAAACAAGCCTTAATTAATGACATCTAACATGAAAACAACATTGAGTACATACCTTTAGACTGATGAGATGGACATTACAGGTATACATAGAAAACTAATATTCTCTTCCGGTTGAAGTGCATATCTCAAAAGTACTGATTTGTTTTTAGAAGTGGTTATTTACTCAGTCTGACAATGTTGTCTGTTCAACTGTTTGTTCATTCTCAGACTGGCTGCTGTGTTTCTAATTTACTGGGGATACATGATTGCAGCTACTCTGTCTGTTGCTGATGAAGAAAAATATGTTGAGGTTTTCTGTACCGTTGAGGTCTTGGCATTTTGATAATTTGTGGATGATTCAGAGCCTCGTTATACAAAAAGTAATCCTTGAATACTGAAGGGAACAGCTGGCTTGATAGAAGAGGGCTTCACACCTGACCTTGCAACCAACTGCGCTGTTGATTGAATCTTTTTTTTTTTGTCTGACTGTTATTGTCCTGTGCATTTGTTCTTAGGTTAACGGGATTCCAGCTGCCTTCACCCGTTGTGAGTACAGGCTCCAGGCTCACACTGTGGCTACTGTCCGACTACGCCGTCAGCGGGCAGGGATTTAAAGCTGTCTATGAAGGTAACACAACTTCCATCTTGTTGGTTTTTGAGCTAAATGATCATGTTGTGACATATGTTCTAATATGGATGTGATGAATTTATGGTCAATCTCAAAGTACTTGTCAAAAAACGCCACGTCTCTTCTGAGATTGTCCGATTTTCCTCTATTGATTTTTACATCGCACTCATGTAAGTAATTTATGCCAATAATTTCTAACATGGTGTGATCTTTCAGCCACTCTTTGTGGCAACTGTTGATGAGAAAAGGCTACAGAGCTACTGAGCAAAATCCCTTAAGTTTCCTAACAAATGGCAGAAAACTCCACAGTGAGGAGGAGAGAACACGGTACCGTGACTCATGTTGCAGTACAAAAGTAGCTAGTGTGCACTGAACTAATTCAAACGATGTAATTTAAAGCCCTTATATCCATCTACGTTATCGTCTCTCCCTTCACTAGCCATGACTGGGACCTTTATCACGGTGACATGGAATGCTTTATGACCCATGGCGGGATGATATTAATGATGGCACTCATCAAACCCACGCAGGAGGAAAGATGAGCTTCGGGAGGGGAAGGAGATACAAGGGAGTGACTAATTAGGCTAATTACCTGACAGGAGTGTGTCAGTCTTTTTGAGATATCGTGAACGTGGGGAATGGGGATGTGGCTCGATGAAGCCACATCAAGCAACTCAGGAGGCCTAAGACCACATTGCGTGACTAGATAAAACCAAAGACAAAAGAGCAAAGAGACTGTTTGTTAACTCCACCGGGAGGCAACTGGGGTGTCGCGCCTCTCTTTCTCACTCGTGGAAACAAAACTGTCATACTTGTCTAGCTTCTGACCTTGGAAGATGTAACTGTCTCTTGCTTCAAATGTGTATACAAAAACTTAAAAAGAAGAGGTAACTATATTAAATAGCACGGTAAGTGATCATGGTTTTTTTTTGTGCTACATGCAGCCATACACTTTCATGCAGTCACACATACATAAATAAAGCCAAGTGAACAAATATATATATATATATATATATGTTATTAAAATAATGTAAATATTTAAGCTCGCAGTGACTTTGGTACCATAGTGACTGTTTCAGGGATATCAAACCTACTGAGCACCATGTGAAATGAGTGCAAAGCCATAATTACCTGTCACCCACCTCACATGATGCTAGTGAGACCAACTGCAATTACCCATGTCACATGGGAAGAGAGAGAGGCCCTGTTGTGCTGACATGTGATGCTGCCCTTTAGGTTAGAGTGAATGTTAATTGGAGAGTGAGAGGTACAGGAATAATGACTCAATGTAACTGAATGTATGGAAGACCACCCACAGTTGACATTTAATACGCTGTACAGCGTATGCACACATGTGAATCCTAGCACCACATTCAGATGAGTTGAAACTGCATTCCTATTCTACTTCCATTCATCCTATTTTTTTTAAATGTATTTCTGCTCTTCCTTTGAACCTTTTTGGCAATTTTCTCATGCCACACTTGGGTTTTTTGACTTCTCTGTGTCACTGAAATCCCACTCGGTCTCCCTTGGCACAAACGCCAGAGATAATGAATCTTCACCCTGTGGCTATTGGTTGGACATAATTTATCTGGTTATTGATTAAAATCAACACAATGCTTAAAATCAGCTGGATGGTAGGGAAACAAACAGCATTTCATGCTCGCCAACCAAAACACATGCCCCTCAAGCCTTTTTCTATGATGTCGAAAACATTTAGGGAGGAGATACAATGAGATTTAAAGTTTTAATTGAAATATATCTTGTTAGTTTCCAGAATATATGTTGTCTTCTTCCTTGTTTTATTTGGCGGCTTCATACTGTCAGTAGGAGAATGGGGATGTTCAAATAACTTTTCTGATATTAAACTACCCAGGAAGTCAAGACACAACAGAAAGATGTTGCAGAAGCTGACACACTGCTTTGTGCTGCTTTGTTTGAAGTCAGTTTGACCAGAAAGCACTGGCATAGAGCCACTGTTCTGCTTTGATTTGATTAGTTCACAGTTAGAAATGGTGCACAATGGTCGGCAGGGGGCTACAACCAAAGATTATACATAATCAGAGATCCCACTGTGTATCATCTCAAGATGTTACAAGTATCAGGCTGGCAATTTTAAAGTGTGCTTATGTAAAAACTGTTTGTTGCACTTAATCTGAGCCAAAGATACTGATAAATAAATAAGGTGGCACATGGCCAGTCTTATTCCTCTTCTCTATCGCTGTACAAGTCACCCTTTTTATAGCAGTAAAATGTGATGGACACCCACAAGACTAGGGATGACTAGAGATTAACTGTGTTTTCCCATAACAGTGGTTATATAACGTTGAAATGCGTTACTCACTGCGTGTTACCTTGAATTGTTGAAGAAAATGTTTTTGCACAGCTCCACGGGGAACAGAGAACCTAAGAAACGGAGTAAATCCTTGATGAATTGAAGTAAATGGGGTCCAGGTTTAACAGCAAAACTCAACCAAAAATCTGTTAACAAACCCTCACACAGTTTGTACAGTATAAGCCAAGTCTAATTTATCCAGTTGTTGAAATGGGTTTGCTGTTGTGACACCTGGACCCTAATTAGGATTTCAATTCATCAAGGATTCACTCTGTTTTCTTTCCGATTCTCTGTTCAACATGGAGGCCTGCAAGAAAAACACATTTTTCTTCAACAATTCAAGGTAGCAAGTGGCGAGTAATTAACATACAAATGGTCTTTTTTTTGGTGAAGTATTCCTTTAAGTGAAATTGAACGTATAAGAGGCATCATTAATAAATCTGGCATCAATTCACCACCTCACTATCTGTGTCGCCAATTTACCCTATGTCCAAAATCGTTTGCACAGGTGTGCACATTCTCCTCTTAAACTTGTTTTTTTTATAGATCACAACTGTTGCTTGGGAAGTTGAGTTTGTCTCTTTCAGGCCACGTTTTGTGCGTACGCCATGTTTATAACAAAAGATTATTTCTCAATTTGGATCTCGCTCCTTTGGTATTATGCTAATGGTTAATAATAAAACTCCTGTCCTATATTTAGCTGTTGTTGTGCCTGCTCATTACATATGACCCAGTCCCTAACCAAATAAGTCAACTGTTGTTCTTGGCCTTGTATAAATAGAGTGGTTGTACTTAGCTGTTGTGGGAGAGGATCAATGTAGCCCTGATGAGGTTTTTATCTGTCTGTGTGCCTTAGTATGTCTCAGTGTAGACATCACTGAGTATGTGTGTGAGGCTTTTTTCTTCACTGCTTATCCTTCCATTTTCTCAAATGGGATAAGTGTCTTTCTTTCTTAGCCCGATTGGCTTTTCTCAGCACATCTTTTGGCAGTAAAACCTCAGTATTCTACAGCCTCTTTTTATTTGGACTGCGCTTGCCATCCACCATTTTGGTGCAAGCCCATCTCGTCTATATTAGATATCTGTTCAGCCCACACTGCAATAAGCCTAAGTGCTGCACAGTCCATCTCCCCAACACACTGCGTAATGGCTGAGACCACTCTGGAATCTCTCCCCTCTCATCACCATGGCAACCACCAGACTCCTTGATCCCGTCTCATTCCGTTCTTTCCCTTCTTCATCTCTTTGCGAACTCTTTATTCATGCTTAATCTGCAGCTATGGAGAAGGAGGCTAATGGAGGCAAAGGGAATTAGAAACATTCGCAAAGCCTCTGAAAATATCTACTGGGAGCAGAAGAGAACTCTTATCTCTTCATGTCTTACTGCATTCCTTGCTCTCCATCTTTTTTTCCTCTCCTTTCTTACTCGTCTTTTTCCCCTTTTGTCTGCTCTACTGCGAATGTCAACCTGCATGGCCCCCATGTTTTGTTGCCTCTTCCTATAGTTCGTTCTCCCTCCCTCTTGAATGTTAAAGTACCGTGGTGTTTCTCTACCGTCTGTGTCTTAGTTGCATATTCTATGTGCCTACCAACTGGGTCAGCCAAAAAAAATAAATAAAAAATACAGCCAGCCCTGCCGCACGACTCACAAAGCCTGCCTCCTCAGCATTAAGTCACTGCAGGTGTCTGAAATAGGAAAAAAAAATGGCATGTACATAATATTTCACAAAGTCATTTTGTATTCAAATTGTTTTCAAATGTCCATCTTTGGATACCTTACTTAAGATCTGCATGTGAGTCTAAGGGTAATTATGAATACATTTGGGCGACATATTGGTAGCATTGCATTATGAAGAGGGAGGCTTTAAAACGGAAAATCTAAATTAATTGTTAATTAGTCAAAAGATATAAATGTAGATATATGACGGGTTTGGTGTAAAAAATAGTCATAATAAGCAATAACATGTTTCTGTGAAAGTGGGTAAAGGAGAAGCAGAGGGAGTCTTCTCCTTCTGCATCCATCAGAGCTGATCTACAATAGCGTCTCTATCTACTCCCCTTCGACCACCCCCGCCCCCCCTCTCTCTCCCTCCTTCCTATTAGCATGAGAGAGGAAGGTGGGGGCAGAGTAGATGAGGGTGATGAGAAAGCAGTGAAGCATGAGTGAGTCTAGTGCCTAATTGAAAAATGAGGCTCGTCCCATTCAGTCGGGGAGTTGGCCAAATGGAAGTGTGATGACAGAGGCGAAAGACGAGTATAGACCTGGATCAAATCCTACAACCATAATGTTCTATTTTCCCTCCACAGGAACTAATACACATTTTACTTATAGGTACATTATGGCCCAGTTTGTGTGTTTGCATCTGTAATTTAAAGGGAGGGGTTGAGGGGGTTTAATAACCTGCTGCGTTCCCATGGAATAATTTCCTTGGATGTTGTTTGCTGCTCGCTCTGGTAACATTGACTTTGATTAGTAACAGTAATTGTTTGCCAAAGAGCAATTTACATGGATTATTTGAATGATTTTGATTATATATTCAGCCTCATTCAATAGCAATATTATATTCCTGTCTTTTCTCTATTGATGTATTCTGCCGTCTCACAATATTAGCAATGCAGTCTGCTATTAACAGATTAGTTTGGCTACAAACAACAGTCCACTTTT